CAGAGCAGGAGGCCGGGGTGCGGGAGCGATGCTCCCCACGGATGAGCACCTACTGCAGTAGGTGAGCGCCCTGCCAGCGGGCCTCCGTGCTCCCCAGCAGGACCCACAGTCCCCGCGCAGTGTCTCGGGGGTTGCAGGTGTGGGTTTGGGATATGGAAAGTCAAAAAACACCTCCCAAACCCCAGTGACCTGAACACGCAGCAGCACACTCTCAGCCACTGTAGGTTTCACGGGCATTGCTGAGGTGATCTTGCTTCAGCTTTGTGCTGCCCGTTGGGTACCTGGCAGGACACTGGGCTCCTGCTGGGGTTTCCCAGGCTCCATGACCAGGCCTATGCCAGGACCTGCCCAGAATGGGCAGGAGCAGGGACGGGGGGAAGACATCTGGCCCTTGGCCCTTGCAGAGGTGCTGGGTGATTCCCTCCTGCAGGGTTTCACCCCGTTTTTTGTGGGGTTTCTCCTTCTTCTAATCTCCCTTTCCTCCCAGGTGGCTATGTGCTGCAATTGCTATCAAAAGGGGCCCTGAGTTGCAAGATCCCAGGGTGTGCACCTTCCCGTTGCAGGATGTCATCCCTGCTCGTGCAGGGAGATGGAGAAATCTTTAGTCCAGGGCGAAACCCCATGGCAGGCAGGGCATGAGCAGGATGGGTTACTGCAGAGCCCCCCCTTGGGTAGCTCGTTCCCTGCCAGTGTCCAGCCTGGTGGCGCTGCACATGCAGGCGTGGAGGGAAGGGACGGGGTGGGCTGTGCTGCTCTGCAGAGGGCTTGGGGACTTGCACCCACGGGTCCCTCTCAGAGCAAGGCAGCATAGGGCTTCCTGGGGCACAGCATAGCAGAAGTCAAACTGCACACAGACACAAGTGGGAGCAGAGAACAAACACAGCCAGGTCTGACTCCCGGAGGTTTAGATGCCATTTGAGTGGTTGTGGTGTGCTATAAAAATTAATTAACATAGTTCCATGTGACCTTCTGTAAAACATTGCCTTCATCCCAAAGAAAGAATATATCAGGAATCACCTGAAGCAGCCTCAAACAGAGAGACCATGGCTCCAGACACAGTCGCTGACTGCACTTGACCAGAGGTGAAGCCATCCTTCCAGCCCTTATTTCTTATCTGGCCTGAGTGAAGTGCTCTGAAATAGAGAGCTCGAGAAAGGATCACTGGCTGCCTGGGGGAATGAGGGTGTTCAGAGCATAGGACCTCAGGCACTGTAATTCCTCCCTACCAAAAGTTTCAATTTGGAACTTCCCCTTATTTTTTTCACTCAGGACATAAACAATAAGACAGCAAACACAAGCACACAGCACTACCGAGGGAAATCCAGAACTGATCCAGGCTCTCCCAACTCCCAAGTCTCCTTCCATAGTCAGCCCAGTGCAGCTTTGTCCCCAAACTCGAGTTTGAACATTTATGTACTTTGCATTAAATGTATTGGGCTAATTCTCCTACCTACAACCTCATTCTCCATCCTAACCTCCGTTTGCAAGACAAAAGTACTGAATACACCAGGGACAGCCAATACCCACATGGGGCTTAGGGAGAAGGTAGGAATGCAGCCTTCTGAAACTTGCTTGAGACAGCCCCTTAGCTTAAATAGCCTGATTCTTTTGTTATCAGTCTTTTTTTTTACTTTCTCTGTGTTGTTCCAAACCTCTGTTATTTGTAAGGCAGAACTGATGCTGTATTGCTTTGGGAAACAGCTTCAGGCAGGCAGTTTAACATGGTTTTTTTGATGCAGCATCAGTAGCATAGAAGTAGTGCCAGAGTTAATCAGATTTACAGGAATAAGCCTTTGAGCTCCAATTGCACAGAAAAATTTGAGTTACCCTTAAAAATTAAGTGTTGCCAGATAATCTGGAATCCTCTGGCTACCCCGTGTCCAGGTATCACAGCACAAGAAAAGGGAAAGGGGCTTGTGGAGGAGACATGCCCACATCGGAGATTTTGGAGAAACGAAGACAGACAAAAAAAGGTGAGATTTTTAAATTCTCATCATTAGTTAAACTGTAGGCATGTCCAGAAATAAAAATATTCCTTTTTCTAGAAGCCTGATGACACAGAGCCCAGGAGAAGAAAAAGGCTTGGGACACCGCTGCCACTATATTGCAGATAATCTTTAGAGGCTTTCATCCCCTGAGAGGTTAAAGGCAATTACTGCATTAAAAAAGTCCCGACCTCGCGGAGAGATGGCGGCG